GCAGAACAAAAAAGGCCCAAATATGAATGTAACAATATTCAACAACGAAAAAATTTTCTCTTAAACAATTGGCAGAAACACTTTTCCTTTACCAAAAAACCCCCCATTTTTTTTTAAAAAAAACGAACAATTTAGCAATACCTTGTCGGAAATCAATCCAAAGTTACAATGAAAGCATTCAATCTAGCAACTGGATAGAAGACAGGTTAATGAAATGCACTTAAGAACTGCACTTTGTTCACAATGTAGACAATGGAATAGCAGAACCGAGTATCAGAACTAAAGGTAGCAAGCTCTATTTCAAATTAGAACAAATTAAAAAAAATAGATTGTAGCAGCTGTTTGGGACTACTTTTAAATCAAAATAGTAGCTGTCCATAAAATATTTTGAAGTTTACCTAAGTTTGAAGGCAAAATAATGCCAAAACACTGTGTTTTGAAATACAGTGATAAATAACAGGCTGGATGCAGTCCATTCAAGTTAAATGGACGTAAGTTCAGTTGAAATTACTAAGACAAATAAGTGATTTGCCTCAGGTATTTAAATAGAATTACATGCAACTAAGTCCCACCTTAGGCATGAAAGCCAGATGGGTTAGTCTTTCTCTCAGCCTGAACTATCTGCGAGAATTGTTATTGTGGGGAAAACAGGAATATGTATGTTCACTGCTTTGAGTTTTTATAAAACAGTAAAGGCAGGATAAAATTCAGATTTAAAAAATCAACACAGTATGAAAGATTGTTCACGAACAGTAACTTTTTACTGTAGAATTTGATACAATTGGGTTACTGGGAGAAAACAAAGAAGAGTAGGATGTACTGTAATGGAAATATGGGTGGAAGATGTTAAACTGGAGAGAAGTGTCCCTTAAGCAGGTAAACAGAAAGGAGGATTTGTGTAGTGTGCTTTCCTACCCATTTGTCTGGTACCTCTGGAGTTATAGTTAAGAAAATGTTGGGGGAAAAAAACAAGTTATCCTTCTATCACTTCCCCTCCACATTAGACTCCATGTCCTCTAGAGATCAAAATCTTATTTCCTAATCTGGATGTTGTTACCTAGTAAACATCTGCAAGGAAACAACCAAGATCGGAGAGCACCAAATAACTATCTAGTTCCTATTATTAAGCTTAGTAGGCAGTGCATTTTGCTTCACTCAAGAAATCAACCAAGTATTTCATATGTTGAAAACCAGATAGAACTGAAGAAAAAAAAAATATAAGCAGAAGGGAGGACCTACAGATGAAAGAAATAACCAGGACAGCTGGAGCAAATATTTATGCCTGGAAGGGAGTCTTCTTGCCTTCAAAGAATCTGGTTGATGTAATTGGGTCTCTACTACGGGCATTCTCTTCAGATCCTATAATATTTCTATTACTCATGCACAGTGCTTCCTTTTATCACAAAATCAGATCAAAATCCATCAAAGGCAAACAGTTGTATGGTTCCTTCACTAGCTCAAGCAGTGGATAATATCACCCGTTACTCTTTTCCTAGCAGCAATTTTCAGGGGCAGAATCTAATATTTTGCTTATAAACAGCTACTGGGAAACGATATTTCACGATGTGGTTATAGCAACAGATTCATCAGAATGTGAGAATTGCAAACAAACGAACCAAACAAATGTCCTGAAAGATCCCATGCCTTCACTCTGTGTGGCTTTCACTCTTTGACATTCCAAGAACATATGTATCCAGTTAAATTTAATGTTCTGTACAAAGAAGCAACATAAAATCTGATCCGCTTGCACTGTCAGAAAGATTAGTAACTAAGAGTTAGATCCAAATGATTAGGTGCCAATATAGTCCTCACTTACCAACTGCCTCATTTAGCAACTGTATAGTTACTAGTGTAAAATAGCTTTGTGAGCAGTTCTCACAATTATGACCATTGCAGAGCCACACCACTGCCAGTCAGATGCTTTGCAACCAGTGTGTATTTACAACCGTTGCAGCATCTCTCAGTCACGATTGCCATTTGTGTGCTTTGCAACTGGTTTGTAACAAGCATAGTTAATAGAGAAGGAAGAAGATGTAAGTCACAGTCACATGTTTTTACCTAATGACCAGTGATTCACTTAACAAAAAAGGAAGTTAGCCTGAGACAATCACATGAATTTCTGCTGAGCAACCATGGCGACAGTTGCCAGTTCCAATCATCGTCGCTAAGTGAGGACTACCTGTAGGCAATATATTTGAAACAAGTCAGGCAAGCAAGCCAGGCAAGCAGGCGGCCAGGGCTTTGTCAGTGCTATGATCATGCAGTGCAAATGCAGAAATTAACTGGCAATGGACTCAGCATTCTGACGATATCTGTTCTTGGAAGGCAACATCACATATAGGGTATGTTTGTTAATGACAGTAATTGATCAGGTATTTTGACAAAACCCTCTTAAGGCTGTGCTTTCATTTAAAGGTTGGAGATGAATGCTTTGCAAATAATCCATATCTGATGAAATTTCAAATGATACGGGGAAAAAACTTTGCATAACAAAGATGTCAAACTGTCTTAGGAGGGAAGGATGCATAATTTGGCATTTTTGATATACAGTTCTGATATTTGAACTTCAGTACACACAGAGCCCTGGAATTAACTTCAATGCACCAGTCAAGCAAATGTGCCTATATTAAACCTGCTCTGTGCTGCTGGGAATATACTATGTGGAATTGTGGAATATACTATGCTGTGATGAAGTAGCACAAAAGTTGGTAAGTTACTCTTCTGTTTCCTGGTAAGTTTTGCCTAGTAGCAGAATTTTTATGTATATAAAACTGTTCTGTGTGAGTGTTACATTTTCAACAAAAATAGCTCATATACTTCAGCAATTTTCATAGACTTAATTAAAAATTAAACAGAAGCATGTCTTGGGTTGCAATTTTATTCTGATTTGTTTCTTCTAGCTCACAAGTCAAGATAACTTCTATTATAAGAAAACTCTTTCAAAGAATTTTAACTTCCAATAATTTTAATATAAAGATTTTCTCCCATTGACAAATGTATATTTGGGCTTTAATGGGCCTTCAGGTAGCCCTCCGAAAGCACAATGCTTTTTAAACACAATTGTCGCTAGACATTAGATTGAGCATAACCTTGGAACATGCATATGGTATGCATACATGTTTTAAGTGCACAGATAGTTACAACTTGATAAAGCTGATCTGTGAGTTTATCTGAAACTTCTACTAAAATCTCAGGAATTCTAACCAACATTCAGTAACAGCCAATGAATAGCTTAGAACTTAATCTGAAATCTGTTGCTCACTTACTTCTGAAAGAAATAAACTGGAGATAGGTAATGTGTTTCCATGTTAGTATTTATTATTTTTATCTATTGTTATTTTGTTACTGAGATTTCCTTATAGCATAAGCCTGCTGAACGCTCCTTATTTTGTAAGTGAATGCTTTATTTCTTAAAGGGAAGCCCATCTTCTCAAGGAATGTCACTCTCTCCTTAGGAAAGGGCAAGCAATAATCCAAAGGGCGGTATCTCAAAATCACAGCAGCCTTGTAAAGTTGCCTTGTCTTAACAAAACATAATTTAGGTGGGGGAAAAGTCCTTTTGCTGTCATCCATTGGTTTAGATAAAATGAAAAGCAAACTAATGTTTTTCCCAGATTCGATTGCATTATTAAAAATAGTTTTTAAGACCTCTGGGTGAAAATTGTACTTAAACACAGTGCAGGTGGTCTTCAATTTACAACCAAAACTGGGACCAGAATTTCCATTGCTAAACAAGGCAGTGAGTTATGCCTGATTTTAGAACCTTTTCCCATGGTTGTTAAGCAAATCACTGCAGTTGTTAAGTGAATCACATGGTTGTTAAGTGAATCCATCTTTCCCCAGCGAGCTTGCTAGTCAGAAGCTGGCTGGGAAGATCACAAATGGCAATCACATAACATCGTAAATACATGCTCGTTGCCAAGAGCCCAAATTTTGATCACATGACCAAAGGGAGGCGGTGACAGTGCAAAATGCAAGGACTGGTTATAAACCACCTCTTTCAGTGCCATTATAACTTCAAACAGTCGCTGAACGAATGGTTGTAAGTTGAAACCCACCTGTAATAAAACTGTACTTAAGACCTCTATTAGTCTTAAAAAAGAAATTTTAAATTATCAGGTTAAAGTTTACCCAATTTAAAGAAATTATATTTGTGTTAGTTCAGAATGTTGTGTCTGACATTAAGCGGAATCCAAGTTTTATATAAAGAATGTGTGCAAAGGAAAAGCTCACAGGAAGAGCTGAAAGCAAAATATAATTAGTATCCTTCAAGTTACACAGGCACATGTCAAAGCTACAAGTATTATCCCAAGAAAGAAGCACCACAAATATCAGCATTTATTCATTTTTAACTTTTTAGAAAAAATGACAAAATACCTAAGCTCAATAGTTTTAATTTATTAGCTTAGGCTTAAACATTACACATTTTTGTCAAAATAAACTAAATTGCCAGCAATCATGCAAAAACTAAAAATAAACATCCTTAATTTGTTTAAACCAGAAATGCACCATCAGTAACATGTTAACATTATTCACTATAAATGCTAAATGCTTGAAATTAAATTTGCCTCAGAAATGTTAACTTCACAGTAGAGTATTAATTGGCTCACATGTCAACACCTAAAAACAAAAAATAGCAAAAAGCAAGGTTCATGCTAATATTATCGTACAATTCAAATCCCTAACAATAGGGTAAAGGCTTACCTAGAATCAAGTTTAATATAAAGCAAAGTGCGTACAGAAATTTACAACAATTTTTAAGGACAAAAAAAAAAAAATGGTCCTAATCATGTGGTCCCAGAAATTAAACGCATAAAATCTGACATACGAGTTCTGAAATAAAATTACTTTAGATTACGTATAGTATAATGAAAGAGTTCGTCTGAAATCTTCAAAAAATGTTCCTGTTAATCCGCAAAGGGTGCTTGTTATAACTTAAAATTTCTGTTAAATGCGTGCGATGAATTACTTGTTATCCAAGGGTAGCAGCTGCTCCTTACCATTTATTGTTAAAGACTTTAACAGGCCATCTTCTTCAACCTCTACTCTCTCTTGTCCATTCTCAACAATTCTGCAGGACAAAAATCCATGGAAGAGAATGGGTGTTGGTTTTTGTTTTGTTTTTTAAACAGTAAAAGTATAACAGAGAGATCTTGCCCATAGTGATTTAACTATGAGACGGTAGCTTAGAGCAGGAAACTCAGTTGTAGGATTCAAGGAATTTAACAACTGGTTCTTCTTAGTGACTGGCTAGATGGATATGGCTGGAGAGGACCCACGTGACTGGGTGTGTGTGGCCAACTCAACGTCACTTACAGCAAGTGGGGCGGCGCAGGCGGGCAGATGCTGCAGAGACGGCAATTTCCTATGTACCATTCCGAGCCTCTTCCCTACCCCCCCTTGGGCTGACAAAATAAAAACTCCAAGCCTGGGTTCCCCTCACAAGTGCTAGAAGTCTGGTACTCCTTCCCCACCTAGTCAGACTGCGCTCTCCTCTCTCACCAATTCTCCCAGCGCCCCAGGTATGCAACCACCCCAAAATTTTTAGAATTAGAGCCACGGAGGGGCAAAGTGCACACATCTCTGTTTCCCGCCCACACATTCACATGCCATACCAAGCCCGCTGGTGGCCTCTATAGCCAGACCCAGGCTTGGAGCATCAGCAACCTTTTGGAGCTTGTTAACAGCTCCACCCCAACCATGCATTTTCCAGCCCAGGCTCCTTTGAGTGAAAAGCATGCAATATGCTGCCACTAAGCTCCCCGGTTCCTCGCACAAGTGCTGGAAGAAAGGGAGTCTGATTGTGAGGGCGGGCTTTTCCAAGGCCGGTCCTAGACGGAAACAGAGATGAATGTGCCTTGCCTCCCCGAGGCTCTAATTCTTAAACATTTTGGGGAGTTGCGCACGTGGGGCGCTGGGGGAATCAGTGCCTGGAGTGAGAGGGGAGCGCAGGCTGATTGGGTGGGGAAGGAATACCGGACTTCCAGTGCTCATGTGAGGAACCAAGGAGCTTAGCGGCAGCATATTGCATGCATTAACAAGCCCGCTGGTGGCCTCTACAGCCAGAGCCGGGCTTGGAGCAGCAGCAGACAGACTTTAGGGTGCAATCTAACCCTCAAGCTCCCAATGCCAGAACTGGGGAGCCCGGTGAGAGATTCGCCATCATGCTGACAAGTACAGACCGAGTGGGTTTTTTGCTTCCCCCCATCTCAATTCATCATGGCGCAGACAGCCCAATGGTGGTGTTAAACAGGGCATTTCCATCAGCCCTTCTCCTTTCCCCCACCTCCTTTTGCAAGCATGCTCCAGGAAGACTCGGCAGGCAGTCACGATATTTAGATAGGCTTTTATTTTGTCAGCCCAAGGGGGGGAAAGGGGCTCGGAATGGTATGTAGCAAATTGCTGCCTCTGCAGCATCCATTGTTTCCCAGCAGGCAGGCAACTAGGAGGAGGAGATGGCAGGCAGGTGGGCTGGGTGGCAGAGAAGGGAGCAAGGAAGGCAGGCAAACAGGCTGGGCTGTGGGGACGGCATTGGGGAAGACAAGTGGGCTGGGCCGCTGGGACCATATGGGAGGCACCAGGAAAGGCAAACAGGCTGGGCCACGGGGAACGCAGGCAAACAGGCTGGGCTGCAGATACCACGTGGGAGGTAGCTGGGTGAGAAGTGAAGGAAGACTCACCAGGCAGAGATCAGCTGGGCCACGTGGTTGAGGCAAGGGAGCCAGAGAGCAGCAGCTATGCTATGCTGTGGGCATGACTCTAGGCAAAAGCCTAGGTGGGTAAGGTGAGATAAGGAGTGACAGGGCAGGTCGGGTGGGGCGAGCCTGTGGTGTGATTAGCCAGTTCTCCGAACTATGCAAAAATTTAACAACTGGCTGAATCCCACTTCTGAGCAAACTACATTGGAAAGCTTCATTTTATCCACAAATTTGAAGCAATTAATTCTCCAGTTGTCAAAACCCTTGCAAGATTTTTTAGCTGAGCTACCTTTTAAACTATGATTTCAAGTCAAATCAAACACACTATGTACTTTTTCTTTATGATGCTCATCTGAGGCACTTCAGCCATAGGGACGCCAACTTAATTTAGACTTATCCCCAGGATAAAAAAAATCAAACACAACACACAGAAAAACAATGAGTCAAACCTTACTGAAAGTTACTATATTCTAGTTTTGTTTTGAATGAAAAGAAATATTAACAACTCACTAACAAATTTAAATTTAAATCACTGTACCTCTTTGTAGTGACTTTTCTGCCGTTAACTAATTTAGTGGAAGTCGATACAGATTTGAAATTACCCATTCCACTACCACCAAATGATGTGGAGGAGAATGAAGTAAGGCCTCCATGGCCAAGAGAACCAAATGAAGTGAAACCTGCTAAGAAAGAAAAAGTGACAAAATGTATTTGGTCAAGGCATACTTCTGCTTTTAGATTAATGGACGGACCAATGTTTGGAACTATCAGGCCTCTTATTTAAACCATATTTGTTCATCAATAATGAGAAGTATTAAGTAATACTCCATGTTCTGAATACATTCAAAATACCGAATAATGTTTTACATCTTTGAAGGAATAGAAATGTATGGAAACATATGGAAATCCAAATATTGCTGATTCTCGTGTTTGATAGAGATGCCAAATGGTGTAAATCAGTAATATTTTTAAGCAGCAAAGGCTCTTCAACCTTGAAATAAACATGAAAAACTCAAATTACTGGATCCATCTCAGCAACTCCTACTCTTTTTTGGCTGTCTATTCCTATAATTCTAGCTTGCATAAATGGTGTCCAAGGCAGAATCACAGTTTGCAGGTTTTCAGGATATAAATGTTTGAGAACTGCACACATTTCAATGTCTACATTGTAATTAAGTTCATCCTACCTGTATCAAAGGAAGAAAAACCACCCCCAAAGGCAGGAAATCCTCCGAAGGCAGAGAACAATGAACCACCGCCTCTGCTTCTGTTTCCACGTGGTCCTCTTCTATTACCAAAAAAATCCTCAAAAGGATCTTCTGCAAATAAAATTAAAAAGTTTTGAATTAACTGGTGAATTTCTGTAATAATTAAAGAAAATAGTTGTAAAAGATTTAATAAAGGATTTACATGACAAATGTATCTTTTCTTTTATGTACAGAGAGCATTTGCGCCAAGACAAATTCCTTGTGTGTCCAATCACACTTGGCCAATAAAGAATTCTATTCAAATATTAAGATATATTTCCAGCATAATCAATTTCAACGTTTGATCATTTGATAATTATTGCCACATAAAGATTTTAATACATTATATTCATGTACACAAAAGTATTACTCATAATTTACAATAGTTCTTTTACCAGTCTTCCTTCCTAAGACAGGACTAGAACGCATGATATTCTGCTTTCTAGCCTGGAACGTTTAATCACTGCACTACCCTTCCTTTTTTCAATAACTCTCAAGGATATATGCCATGAACTGCAGCATTTAAAGAGTAATTTTTATAATAAAAGAAAGAAAACAGCAACCTGTGAAAAAGTAAGACATTTGAGTTTCACTGCCCACTTCAACTATGTTCTTTTGTAGGTTTAGGAACTTGGGAACCTGAACAAAAGCTGCAATGAAGAATGTTATATTATCCTGATTAACAAGGTTTTAACCAGATAAACATTTTAAAAATTGCACAAAAGTATTAAAATCAGTAAATGAAACCATAAAAAAAAACCTTGTAAGGAGAGAGGAAGAGAAATAGCAAGACATTCTTCTGCTATTGTATAGGACCATGGTGAAACTCTAGAACCAAACTGTAAGTAGAGTGCAACATAAACCATAAAACTTAGCTGTTTATTATTATATTTTTAGAATATCTGAAGATGAGATGATCTGAAATATATTTATGGGTATACACATCTTTAAAATGGTTTAAATGTGTATCTCATCAAATTATTCAGAATGACGTCAAGACATTAAATTCGCATTTAAAACATGGTTCTGAACAGTCCCTAGATGAATTATGTAATTTAAAAATTAATAATAGGGGGAAATGGTTACTGCAATTGGTGGATCTAATTAAGAGCAAGAATTCCACAGGTAGGTTGCATGTGGGTTTGTTTGTTTTTTTGCTAAAGAAATTGCTTTACCCGTACAAACAGTATGTATACAAAGATTAGAATTATTTGCAATGGGTTTTTTTACTTCAATTATATTACCATAAACATTCAAATGATGTAATTCTGGTCAGGGTGGATTCGATTTAAATCAAATCAAATTTAAATCAAATCAATTGATTTAAATAAAATCATGATTTAAATCACTAGTAAAAAGGCTTGATTTAAATCAACTCGGTTTAAATCATAATTTTTAAAAAACCAACTGTCGCTCCTGTCCCGCAGCGGCTCCTGACCCGCTGTTGACTCACCAACAGTCCCATTCACTTTAATGGAACAGCTGATGATGCAGCAGTGCCACAAGGTGAGGGATGTGGCAGGCAGGTGAGTGGATACCCACTAACAGGCACTGCAATGATGGATCTGAAATGACAGGTGCTCTTTAAATGTAAGGACTCATTCTTGATGGTAGTTAGAATCTTTAATATTATTATTTGCAAGCAAAATAAAAGTTTCCTATTTAGCTTGCAGAGCTTGGATTCATTGAATGAGTTTAGCAAAATATACAGCTTCATGCTACATAACTAAGCTCCATTTTATGCTGAATACATTAAATTATTAGTGCATCTAAAACAAAAAACTACCTTTAAATCTGATTTAAATTTTAAAAAATCCAATTTTATTTTTATTTTACATCAATTTTATCCACCCTGATTCTAGTTTTAGCCATCTAATTAATTAATTAATTAATTATTAAGCAAAATAAATGAGCAACTTCTAGAGGTACCTATCCAGGCAGCTAAAGTTTTAATATTTGATACTTCAAACAAATTCATGGATGTGCATTTATCCTTTTTTTTATGAAAGAGTTTAACCTCCAGCCCTTTTAACTCAACAATTAGTTTCAAGTGGATCTCTTGGCTTCAGGTCAGTCATCCCAATCATTGTATCCAAATACTTTTCATTTTCATGAAACTCTCCTTTTACATTAAGGGAAACAGTACATTTTCATTTTACTTTCATACTTGTACATACAAGTTTCTTAAGATAACATTCTGTTACACCTCCCAAGGACCAACAGCTTCACTGAAAAATTAAATAAAAGGGAAGTCTTCAACCATTAAAAAATACGAAAATCAGTCCACATTGATTAATACCTTAAACTATAACTAGTAGTAGTAGTAGAAGACCTGGCTTTCTTTAATGACTAGCACTATTTTAGTATATTTCCAACATCACCAATAGCATAAGAATCTTTCAAATAAAATACTATTCTTGTAGCAAGAGTCTTCATTTTTTGAACTTCAGCATATTATCAGGTAAAAGCCACTGGTGTAGCTGCCTAATTTATTACATTGACTCATGAACCAAGTATGAAGGTCACTTGTGCACCCATGAACTATATTATATTACTGCTCACTATTATGGATCTATAAATAGACATTTTTTATGAGTTACCTGCTGTTTATTTTTTTCAATTCAGGTTTTGTTTTTACTATGAGTATGACTTCAGAGTGCGTAAAATATTCCTAGGGAAACTCAGGAGTTTAAATAATTCTTCAAATATAGAATCACATTTAGTTGTATGCAATTAATTTCATCTGTATTTTGTATCTAGAAACTCAAGTTAAATTGCCTATAATTTTTTTCTACAATGAAACCCCTTAATAAGCTAGGTTGATTTAAAACTGTATATACAGCAGAGTAATCTACTCTAGACTGATAATCTCTAGATTTACTAAGAAAATATCCCCTATTTAAAAATCTTCAATAAAGGACCAAACTGAAATGAAGTTATTGAGTTATTCAGATTGTTTCTACAATATATGTCCCTCTTTTAATTTTTTCCATCAAAACTTAGAAGAAAATATACATTGTTCCCAGCTGCACCTATTAAAAATTTCATTCAACTACATTCAGACATGACGATATTTTTAAAGTGCCACTTGAATCTTTGCTGGCATTTAATATATATAAACAGTTTACACTGAATAGAACCCAATGATTTTAGAATGCTAACACAAAGCTTCACTTATTGTTTGCTCAATCTCTATGACCACCCATCTTAATCAATGATTTAATTTACAGCAACCAGCAGTTTCATTTTGCATTTCAATATTATGAAAATATGATACATGAACATGCTAAAGAGCCAATTATGCTCTTTGGGGAATTAAAGAACTTTTGTTCTTTTGTTTATTTACAAAGCAAAAGAGTAATAGTTTGGTGTCTTTTAGCATGAGAATAGAATAAATGTGACATCCATCACAAGAATCACAATTAAGGGAAGACTATTCTATATATATCTCCAGCAAGTTTCAAGACCTATTTTTGTTCTGCACAAAATGCAAGATTTACAAAGATGCTTGTTAGCATCCAAGCTGGGTAAGGGTTAAAATTATATTTTCTGATTGCTTGTAACAACAAAGCTATTTGTATCATTATTCTGTTGTACTAACTTTTCTGAACAATTATAGTTTTTTTTTTTTAATGAATCAAGTAGGTTCCTGGTACATCTACACAAGGCAGCTAATTTGATATTTAGGGTGTTCTTATTTCTTTGAAAAAACTTAGAAAAAAGTTACTTGTAACTGAGCTTCAAATTTGTATAATTTTTTCTCTCTCGTTTTAAAATGACTAGTTACAATATCATAATCATTAAGGTTCTGCTAATTAGAAATCAACAAGATGACTCTAAAAACTCTCAAAGTTACTAAAAGTTTGTAATAATGTTAAAATTGAATTGAAATTTAGCTGATTAACAAAATTGTTTTGACTTTTTTATTATACCAAGTAAGCATCCATTAGAGAAGCGAAGAGACATTTCAGATAGCTTAAAACAGAATTTATTAATATAAAGACTTTCATTTAGTAAAATTCCTCCAACTCTGATCCTATACTTATTTCTTCTTCCAACTCCTCCACAGTTATATTGCTAGGCTCTTCTACCCAATCTTCTGACACTAAACTCGCTTCCTCCTCTAAGGACTCATCTGTTCCTTCAAAAAAGTCCTCTTCCTCCACTAGCATATCGTCCAGCTCAAAAGATCCTTCACATTCTTCAAATGCCTCAACAGAATCTTCATCATACTCTTCATATAGCTCTTCCTCCAGCTCCTCTGCCATTTCTCCTATCGACTCATAACTATACTCCTCCAAGAGCTCCTCTATAGACCTTTCTTCTGATCCTTCATTAGAATCCTCTGGCAGCCAACTGATAAGCAATGAGTAGGTATCTAAGAAAAGTACCAATTGTAGTTCAGTAATTACATAAAAGACCATTGGATAATGCAAGTCCCCAAGTATATTCTTTAAAACTTAACTTTCTATGAATTTAAATATATTACTTTGAGAAGGTTAGCAAGATAATACTTTCAGATTCATCAGTGAATAAAAGTTCTATTTCAACGGAAGTCCAAGCTCAGTTTTAAAGCTATATAATCTGATATCCTTGTTCTTTAAGGAAGAAGGAAGAAGAATGACAGTTAAATATTTCTGTCTACTCTCTGAAAATATGAGCACATCACTGTTTAAGAATTCTGGTGTAACCTGTTTCATTTTCATACTCAAAATGTAATACTGCTAATTTTAAATTTTAAACTATTTTTTAAATTCAGATTTATCACCAAAAAATACCCCTGGCTTTTTGGATATCCTCAAAGTTCATTTTCTAATACTGGGATATCAACTACTGAATAAATGGAATAAGTATTAGACAATTTTATTATTCATACTTATCAATTAAGTTAAAACTATTCTTTAAACATATTCATTTCTTCCATGTTTATTCCTATTGTACGTAGGAAATGAATTCTCCAAAATATATCCATGCCATTTGAAAGAGGAAAAAGAATTTCATGTTTGTTATATTTAGGATTCAAAGGGAAAAAAATCACTTTTCTAAGCAGTCCCAAAATAGAACAATGTAGT